CTTTCCCCTGCATCCTCTCGAGAGTAGGTAGAAAAATAACAACGGGAAGGAACTTCAGGCACGGGGACCGGCCAACTGAACACGTCGTTAGAGCATGTCTATAATCAGAGTGAATAGTGACCGCGGGCTCATAGATCTTTGCAGATGAAAAATCTCTACGCGCAGCCCAAAAATTGTCCGATGAATTAATTTCCGAACCTGAACATCGATTTCACAAAAGTCATCCTGGTGAGTGCTGTACAAACATTTCCGGTTTCTGAGAGAGCCGCGTCGGGCGATTGCATTGAGTGCCAGCAATACCCCGCAGCCAATTTTGACTGCTCAAATGAACTGGCCGAAATCACATCTTGATTCTCAACACTAGGGGCGATGAAACAAAATCATGTATGACAAAACAGCAACGCAATGGCCGATCCCTAAGAGTTAAATTGACTTGAAAGAAGGCATACATGTGGATTGTACGACAGAAATGAGCACACTGATGGTTTTATTTTAAAGAGAAAGAGGCATCGCTGGGGAAACACATAGACTATTTAACTACTCGGTGGGGGGGGGGGGGGGGGACGGGCCAAGAAAAGTATTCTACGCGGGGAAAAATGACTAACTTGGCTGAGCTTTTTTTATTGATGTAGCGAGCGGAGAAGCAAAACAACTGGCAAGATGAGACTATGAGATGCACCGAAGCTTCATCCGCGGGGATATCGTCCTGTGCGCTGCATGATGATAAGGAGCAGTACGTGAGAGATGATTACAAGCATCCGCGAAGGAGAGGCAAAGACCTACAGTACGAGACAGAATTAAAAACCTTGAAGGCTCAGAGTTTTCAACTTCCACGAGCCGCAAGGGACCTGTGCTCTATCAGGTTCACGAAAAAAAAACTCTGTTTACAGTTTCTGTTATCCTGGGCTTTTTTGTTTTTCCACGAGTTTTTTACACAAGCTGGGTTTCTTTTCCACTCGGTAACTCTGTATCTTACTGTGACTCTGAGGTATCTCTGAAACTCTGTGACTCTGTATCTCTGTGACTCTGTATCTCTGTAACTCTGTATCTCAGTGTACTGCTGTGCTAAGCGGATGAAGGATGACATTACCCTCAACCGAAGCACAGGGTAAAAGGAGTGGAAGTTGGTTGCCACTGAAGCCTATTTATACACATACGCAAGGGCAGCAGGGCCGGTCAGGCCGGTCGAGGCCGGTCCCTGAAGTGCCCTACCACCTACATACAACAATGACCTCACTCTCTTGCGAGGTTCATGACCTCATATGTACATGATCAATATTCTCTTGACCGAGTCGCCGACTGATCCCTTCCTCTACATATCAAACTTCTATTTCCTAGGCCCGGCGTCGGGCGATCTGCCTGCTTCCCTTTAATCGACTTATCTTCCACCAACACCTCAATTCCCACCTTCTATTGACGACAGCCAGACAGCCAGAAAGGTCAGTACATTTCTTGCTTTAATTTCGACATAAATATGTACAGTTTTTATGTTAGATCTGTTGTTCTCATACACCTTGCACCTATGACAACAGATCGCTTATCTATGTACTTCTAACTTCCACTTTCCTCATATTCTGCATCACGTACCAGAACGGTCTCACCATCCCATCCAGGTCAAGATCGCGATGGAATCTTGAGCTACCCGGACATAGTTAAATAGCCTCCAGATCCATCGATCAAACCGATCCAGAAGCAACTCACCTCACTCACGACATCCTGAATTGTTTAGGCCTCAACACATTAAATCAAATAAATCAAATCCGACTTCCAATTCCAATTTAGATCCTACACCCGTCAAAGATGTCTGGCCAAAGAAGAATCAGTCACCCCATGTACTCAATGGGCCCGTTTGACATCATCGAAGTCGTAAGTTTGAAAATCTGATTCAAGGTTTTTAATCTTAATGATTGATGCTGATCGATTGATTGAGGATCGTGAAATTCAGGGGGCAAACACGTTGAAAGACACTAACAACTTCGGTCAATTCAATTACGGATCGTCGGTTGTCCTAGAAGACAAGGCGACTGGCAAACCTTACAACCACGAGATCCTGCTGTCTGGCTACGGGTCTAGAACCACTGCCCCTGTTCGGGACAGGGTTTACCTTCTTGGAGGGCTTTTTGTCAAGAATCCCGAGGAGCCCCCGACAGGCGATGAAGACGAAGCGAGATGTACCGGCTACACTTTTTTCTACGATCAAGCCCTGACCCTTGGTATTGGTGGAACAGAACAATATTGCACCAAAACAACATCTTTCCTCATGAATAAGGTCGGGGTCTTTGGCTTCGGTTTGATAACTAACCGTCAGGAGATCCAGCATACCACTCCGAACAATAATTCTCAAACCGATCTCCACGTTTCTGTGCAGCACACTGATTATCATACCACGGTGAGTTTCTTTTTTTCAGATGTTACCCCAGACCTTGACCGATTGAACAGGTCACTTAACTTATTTTTCATGTTTGTTTGTTTTTTTTTATTCATTGATCGATCCGTAGGCCAAACAACTGATGGAGTTCCAAGTCAACTACATCGTTCCTGGCAATAAGCTCTTGAACCACACGTTCAATTTGTTTCAAGTCGGACGAGAGGCACTGATTGTCGGTTACATCACCAGCCATGATGATGATGCCGAGATTTGGCAAGTCACGGTAAGAAGTCTCATTTTACTACTCATTCTTGCTTATACCTGTTAGGAACTAACATAACATACTGCATTTCATTTGGTACAGGTTTTGCTGGTGTCGATATCTTCGGGAGGCAGAAGTACCACTGTTAACTTGATGTCTACTCCGGCCTCTTCAAACGCCGGGTCGGTTGAACAACCTCGACCTAACATGTAAGTAGAGATTTGACTCGGTCATCTTAATCTTAGTTCATCGATTGATTGAGTTGTTTCCTATCACCGGAAAAATGTATCAGGAGACGTATTGGGGCTCGCAAGACCCCTACTCCAGCCAGCAAAACTGCTCCGAAGCAGTTTTCAGTCAACGCCAGCCAAGAACCCCAACAAGCGAAACAGCCTCCTTCCTTAGCACCCCTGGAAATATTTCCAACTCCCTCGACTTCAGCCACTGTGCTCTCCTCCAAGGAGAAAGACTATGAAGAAAGCGAAGAAGCTGAAGTATCGGATGATGACAACGACGACCATTTCAAAGACACGTACCCTCCAGGCGATAAAAACAACAAGAGGGCTCAAACCTCGCAGACAGGCTCCGGAATCCTTGCCGAGGCACAGAAGAAACTCAAGGGCCGTGCTTAAGCCCCTCGATCGAGGATCGTGATCGTTACTCACGCAACGATCAGTGGTAACAGACCACAACTAACAACGATGATTTTTTCCATCTCCTTCTCTATCTACCTTGGCCGATCATAAGAACTATATCATGTGAACTACGCCCTATCTCTTTGTACTAGATCGGTCTGTGCTCAAATGTTCATCAACTTGAACTCATGTATCTACTAAATGTCATGTCTCGACATCTCTATTACCTAGCTGATCCTATTGTCAACGTCTGCAATTAAAATGAATGAAATGTGCCTCAAGCTTCTACGAGCTCTCGACCGATCTCTTGCTCGGTTGTCCATCACGTGTACGGGAGTTGATCACGGGATCAGCTCCATTGAGTCTAACAACTAATGATCGGACATTGAGTCTAACAACTAATGATCGGACCGAGCTACCAAACAACTAACAATCGGACTGAGGTACTGATCTGGCTTTTGAGTCTAACGACTATCGATTGGACTGAGTGGCCGATCTGGCTTTTGGTTATGTCGGTCTCATGATCTAACTCCGGATACTCATTCCCTCAGGAGACATTACTTGCAATCCGAGTTTTACCTGAATTCTGCAATCCGATTCACCAATCCGAGTTTTACCTGAATTCTGAAGACAATGCCGCTACCGCAAAGACGACGCTTCGGAGACGTTCATCGCCAGCAACCAAGAAGGCGAGTATCCAGTGTCACAGCTCGACATCGGAGTCGCAGTATATCATCAACTCCAATCCAAAGGAATAGAAACCGACCTCGCCGCCGACCTTGGGATTTGTTGCCAGTGATTGGACTGGGTGCGGTCTATCGTTCCGAGAATAACACAGAAGCATACTTACTTGATCGATTCCCTGGGGATTTTCCTTTCAACGTTGGATCTATGAACGATGCCTGTGACTCCTGCGGAGCTCTTCACTGGAAACTGGAGCGTACAAAGAACGATATGTCCAAAGACACCGCCAGTTACTCAATGTGTTGTGGAAAAGGATCGGTCGAGATGCCAGTAAGATACGAAGACACTGAATATCCTTGGTTTATGCGGAAACTGCTCACCGATCTTGATGAGCGTCAGTTGTTCTGGGTTCAACCATCTTGCATGTAGGCAGTCGCTGACTATTTAATCTTTATCTCTTTGTTTCTTTATTTATTTTTTCAAATCAGGTTCCCTCCAATATCAAAGACAGATCCGCGCATACAATAACGCCCTGTCCTTCTCATCCTGTGGTGCTGAGATTGACCGATCGGTTCAAGGTTACGCAGGAATATATACGTTCAGAATCAGAGGCGCCCTCTTTCACGACATTGGAAGTGTGTTCCCTCGAGGTAGTGCCAGGCCTGCGTTCTCTCAAATTTACGTCGTGGGGGGTAACGATGCCCAGGAGGCTGAATATCGCGCAGGACAAGCCAGGTCCCCAGTTGATGTCGAATTACTTCTACGAATTCAGAGATATTTATCAAGAAACAACAGTTACGCTCGATTCTTTCGAATGGTTGGGCAAGACGACCCAAATCTAAATGCTCGCTACGTTCTAAGAAACTACAACCGGCCTGGACTTAATCAAAATGTCTATAACGCACCTCGGACGCTGGAAGTTGGAATGGTCATTGATAACGATGATCCTGATCAAATTGCACCAAGAGACATTGTCCTTAGGCCCCATGAAGGTGGCCTCTTGCATATCACCGATGATTTTAGTGGTTATCTCCCGATTCGCTATCCAATCTTTTTCCCTTTTGGGGAGCAAGGATGGATTCATGGATTACCAAGTAATGAAGATGAAGAAGAAGGTAAGAAACCCGCATGTAAACCTCTCTTTCATGAGAACTGACATATTAGCTTTGAAACTGACATATTGACTTGATTAACAGAGTCGACAATTTCGCAGCGGGAATGGTATGCCTCTATGATCTTCGACCGACGAGACAAATTCTCAGCGATCCTCCATGGGAAAAACCTCTTTCAAGAGTTGACGGTCGATATGTACTTCTGTGTGGAACGTTCAAGACTCAATTTCTACCGCTTCAATCAGGGTCAAATCAAGGCAGAGCTGTACCGGGGCGTTGAAGAATCGTTCAGGGACGACATTGATGTTCAAGGAAGACGGATCATCCTTCCATCATCTTTTTCCGGTTCCCCTAGGAACATGATGCAGCTGTACCAAGACTCAATGGCTCTGGTGAGGCATTTTGGGAAACCTTCACTGTTTATCACGATGACTGCCAACCCTCGATGGCCTGAAATTCTCGCGGAACTTAAACCAAACGAAGAACCTTCGGATCGACCTGACTTAATTGTCAGAGCATTCCATTTGAGGTTGACGGATCTCATCGACTATGTGGTCAACAAAAAGAGGCTAGGCAGTGTGGCTGCTTATGTCTATACAATCGAGTTCCAAAAGCGAGGCCTACCCCACGCCCATATGATGGTAATCTTGGAACCTGGAAGCGTCCCTACAACTCCGGAAGCCATTGACTGCTTGGTTACGGCCGAAATCCCAGACCCTCAATCAGAACCAAGACTCTATGCGATTGTCAGCTCTTGCATGCTTCACGGGCCATGCAATTCTAACTCCATGTGTTGGAAAGACGACGCCTGCTCAAAAGGTTTTCCAAAGCCCTTCCAGTCAGAAACATCCTTGGTCAAGGACTCCTATCCAAGATATCGACGCAGGGACGATGGCAGACGTATTGTCAGGAACCACCACGAATTCCACAATGGTCATGTGGTTCCGTATAACAAGTGCCTATCGCTACGATACAAGTGCCACATAAATGTCGAGATCCCTTACGGAATTCACGGGATGAAGTACCTTTTTAAGTATATATGTAAAGGTGTTGATCGCTCTTCAATGCGAATGACTGAAGGCAATGAGACCCTGAAATTTATCAATGGTCGGTATATCGGTCCGTCGGAAGGTTGGTGGTATCTCTTTTGAAATTGTTATCTTTGATTTGTTTGTGTCTTTGGCATTGTATACTGACCATTGCATTCATGTCTGTCAATTCAGCTGTGTACAGGCTTCTCCGATTTCCTACGAACGAGCGAGACCCTGCAATTCAGCGCTTAGCCGTACACCTGGACGGTCAACACAGTGTTTATTTCATTGACCATGAGGGACTCCAACGTCAGATGGAAACTGGTTCTGCGGCCCAAACTACACTTACTGAATATTTCCGACTGAACCGCTTGAACGCTATTGGCTATGGGGTCCCAGCACGATCTTTGCTCTACCACGAGATTCCCAAGTACTTCCGATGGACAAAGAAGAAGCGATTCAAGGGTCGTAAGCAAGCCTCCAACATGATTGGTCGTCTGTACCATGCCACCATCAACGAAGGGGAGCGGTACTTCTTGAGGCTTTTGCTACTTCATAGAAAAGGCGCCACGAGTCCTGAAGACCTGAGAACAGTCGGTAACATAACTTTTGATACTTTTCGAGATGCCGCAGATGAACTTGGATTATTAGTCAGTGATCGTCATTACTCGGAATCCATGGCGGATGCGGCACACTGGATGACAGGTAGTGGTCTTCGGTTCATGTTTTGTATGTTGTTAATTCACAGTCCGCCGGCAAATCCAAAGAAACTACTTGAAGATTTCTTAGAAGATCTCTCGGATGACTTGATGTACCGACTCGAACATAGATACCGTCGTCAGAATCCAAGCATTGAAGATCGGAACTCCTTATGTTTCTTCTTGATTCACAATATATTACAAGAACACGGGAAAACCTTCACCGACGTTGGACTCGATTCAATCAGCACAATCACTCACCTGTGGGACTTATTTGAAACCGACCCAAGTGACGATGACGATGTCAATGTTGATCATGCAGCCCGATTCTTATCTATGTCTCAGTGTCTCAATGAACGTCAGACAATCATCATGGAAACGGTGATAGAGCTTATGAACCACGATGAATCAGGCCTCATATATATCGATGGGCCTGGAGGCTGTGGAAAAACATACTTGATGAACACGATCATCCATTACCTGAATGCCATTGACATCAAAGTAGTAACTGTCGCATCTTCGGGAGTAGCGGGACTCATGTTATTTGAAGGCATGACAGCACACTCACGATTCAAGTTACCGCTAGACCTCAACTCATCCTCTCAGTGTAATTGGAAGAGCAGAACCGCCTCAACCCAAGCACTACAAGACGCCAAGGTCGTAATATGGGACGAAATCTCGATGCAGAGCAAGTATGCTGTCGAAGCTGTAGATCGAGCTTTTCAGGACTTGATGCAAGATGATCGACCTTTTGGAGGAAAACTGATGATCTTTGGGGGAGACTTCCGACAAACATTGCCTGTTGTGCCAGGAGGGACCATTTTCGATCAGGCAAGGGAGTGTATGATTGCCTCGCCAATTTGGGACCATGTCTACACCTTCCAACTGACTCAAAACCAACGATTGCGTAACTCTTCGGATCCAGACAATGCACAAACTAACTCTGAGTTCTATCACTGGCTGTTATCGATAGGGAACAGTTCAAACCAGACTGACTTCTCTGCAGACGTTGAATTGAAATACGGAACCGTTTTCAAGCACCAGACACCATCATTTGTCAGCAACCAAGCAATTGCTCAGGTTTATGGAGATCTGAGTAACTTATTTATCAATCACGACTACACAAATATCCCTGATTTCTACGCTGAACGACTCATATTGGCCCCGCTGAACGCCGATGTCACCAAAATCAATTCTACCTGCAGAGATCGCATTCCAGGTCAACTGTTTCTTTCTGAGTCTGTTGACCAGATGATGAATGAGGCAGATGGCTTAGAAAGTGATGAAGCAGTTCCTGAAGAAGTATTGAACACTTTCTCATTACCCGGCTTCCCTGAACACAAACTGGAATTGAAGGTTGGTATTCCAGTAATCTTACTTCGGAATCTAAATCTCAAAAGAGGCCTATCCAATGGGACTCGACTCTTGATTCTTGCTATAAGACCAAAGGCATTGCGTTGCAAGATCCTCAGTGGATGTCGTGTTGGTAAAGAAGTAATCATCCCTAAACTCAAACTCACTCATGAAGCCGACCACGTATATGGCGTATCATTTTCACGATATCAATTTCCAGTCTCAGTAGCCTTTGCCTTAACAATCAACAAAGCTCAGGGACAGTCGTTATCAGTTGTTTCCGTTTACTTACCTCAACCTGTATTTGGCCATGGTCAACTTTACGTTGCTCTGTCCCGAGTGACCAACTTGAACGGGTTATCAATCTGCATGGTGGGTGATCCAGATCTTCCTTCGAT